GTTTGTATTCTGTTTACTCTACAGCACCATAACTATTTTAAAATCGAGAAATTATCGGTATATTTCGATTACTTTAATAATCGATGTTATCGATATTTTGTGGTTTATACTCGGTTAATGAACTATATTTCTCTGCAGCGTTGCCTTTATACTGAATATCGCTTTGCTGTACATAATTTACCATATATGCATCAGAACTATTTTTAAATCGATATAATTTGATAGTTTCAAAAATCTATGTTATCGATTTTTTATAGTTTGTATTCTGTTTACTCTACAGCACCATACCTATTTTAAAATCGAGAAATTATCGGTATATTTCGATTACCTTAATAATCGATGTTATCGATATTTTGTGGTTTATACTCGGTTTTTTTTACGAGTCAACAGCAAGTATTATGAACTATGAGCTAGGCTTATGTATTAAAACAATTTTTAAAATTTAATAATTGATTTTTATAGATTTTTTGTACAATCTACACAAGCCAAGCTTAAGGTTTGGGGCCAATGTGCTATATTTACTTTCCAGCTAAGGCCTTTATAGGTACTCATGACCGCTTTTCTAGTCTTCTTTTCAGTTTATTATCTTAACTAATTTTTTTTTCAATTTAAAAAAAGCTCTACTTTGATAAACGCCATTTCTTCAAAGTAACTACTTTTTTTTCTAAACTTTCCTTCGAAAACAGGCACACACTGAACAGATTTAAAATATTGCAAAGAAAAACAGTCAGCAAATTTTGTGCTAGCTTTATTTAAATCCAATTAAGGATAATTGAATGTTTGTTTGAAAAGAGAGAGTCTTGCTCGAAATTTATTTTAAAAAATTTTACGCTAGCCATAAGTATATTTTTGGTTATATAAGCTTATGCAAAGTGAAAAATTGCATTATCATTGAAAAGGTAAAATTGTGTTTGTGTACTTGAACAACGCTTTCTGCGCATTAGTTTGCCTGAACTGTTTCCATTAAAAGTCTTTTGGGAACCTCTTTAGAGAATTAAAAGCAGAAAGCAATACAAAATAACTGCAAAAATTGCCGTTGATGCTGGAGAAATGGCAAAGTGGGCAAACATACACACCTAGAAAAGCCGCAAACAACAAGTAGCTATAATAACCATAATAATTGTACACACACATATATATCTCTGCACATAGGCACTTCGAAGAATTCGTTTATAGAAATAAACGCTGAGGACGATGAAATTCAGAGTGTGTGCTTACGACTTTTTGTCTGAGTTTGAGTGTTCAACTCTGACTGTATGTACATATGTGCTTGTCATAATGGTAGGCTGGAATAATGTATATAGCTTTAAGGGTCTCTTTCACATTATTATAGAACACATACACACATACACACACACAAACAAACTCAAACATATTTGCCATCCGTTTACTGTAAAAGCGTTCATGCGAAACTGCTCAATTTGATATGAACAAGTGAAATATTTACGAAAATTAGGTGCAAGCAACAAAATGTCCCCGTTTTCTCCGCATCTATGCCTTTATACATACGCATATGTGTTTCTGTACACCATATGTAAGTCTGACTCTCTTAATATAAACACAAAC